GCTGCTGACTCCGGCGCTCTCCTCCCTCCCTTGCCATACGCCCCCGGTGCAGTGTGTCCGGGGCAGCAAGAAGTTCCAGGTTCCAGGCAGGGGAATCCCTCCGAACCGCAGCACTGGGTGGCTGCACCAGTGCAGTGGGGCCTGGCATTTGGACCCGGCGCCCTCATGCACTGCCAGGTGACTGTGGGTGACCTCGGGCAGCTCACCATGTGCTCGGTCTGTCAGTAGTAGCTGCTAGAACGAGGATGGGGTGACTGAGGCTGAAAGGTGGTGACTGTCACCGGAGCTAGCCACTCAGCCTCTAGAAACGAGAGTGGCTATTACAATTACGGATGCTTCTAAAATACAATGAGCTGAGAATGACGAAGTGCCATGTAAGTGCAAAGTCCCCGTCGTGTACTGTCAGAAGAAGGAACAGTATGAAATACAGCAGGTGGCATACTGGTTGGAGCGCTGGGCCCACAAGGCCGACCGGGTTTGAGTCTTAGACTCTGAAAATCTCGTCAAGGGGCCGACAGGTGGCATGGTGGTTAAGGACGCCGGACTCCCACACGGCCTCTCTCTCTTGCTGTCTTGCTCTGTCCCTCTCTGGTCAAATTAAATAAATTTTAAATAAAATAATTATTTAAAAATATTTTATTTAACTTTATTTATTTATTTTAATTTGATCAGAGAGGGACAGAGTGAGAGAGAGAGAGGGAAAGTGCGAAAGCAGACCGCCAGGTCTGGGACTTGAACCATGGTCACCCATATGGGAGTCCAGCACTCTCAACTACCACTCCACTCGCCAGATCCCAAATAAAATAATGCTTAAAAAAAAAATAAAAAAACTCTTGAAAGAAAAAAAAATCATGTCAGACACAAGTGCATGCATGCCCCAAATCCAGAGAGGAGCATGGAGGAGAGGGTTTGCAGCGTGGACACCCCCCCGGGGTGACTTCTCACTGCTCTTTCTGTCCCTCTGGTGAGTGCACGTGCCATCAGATTTGGTATAGCAGAAACCTCTCCAAAATAATCACACAATGATAATGTTTAAATACTACGACACTGTCAAAGCACTTCATACGTCAAACCTAGGTTATGTTGTCTTTTAAAGTAACTTTCTGCATCAGTTTTACAGGCCTGTGGCTTCTATGAAAGAATACGTAGGCGTTGTCAATGACAGTTATGGAGACTCACTAAGCCGCTGCTCTACACACCCGCTTCCGCTTGTCAAGCATTTCTCAACACTCGCTATGTGCCGAGGCCAGGCTGTGGCACTGGGCACGCAGCAGGGACAGGACAGAGGTCCCTGCTACCACAGAGCCCAGTCTGTGAGACGGACCCAGGGTGAGCACGCATGCTCCCACACATGGTGGTGGGAGCCACGGTGTTCCTCAGGGAGGAGCCAGCAAGTGCCAAGGTCCTGAGGGAGCATGCAGGGCGTGGAGCGACCTGGGCTGGGGGCCAGCAGAGGTGTGTCCCGGAGAGCCTGCTCAGGGAACGGATTAGATCTACCTCTAGCGAGGGGAGAGCCTCAGGAGAGGGCCGGGGTCTCACCCAGGCTGGCCACTGAGGATAGATGAAGGGGGCAAGGATGAGAGCGGATGGACACTGCTGAGGAACTCCCCTGGAGAGGGACCTCTGTGCTGGAGGGACCAGGAGCAGCCAGAATGCAGACCACAGGTGAAGTGGGTCCCTCACTGATGGCCAGATAGGGGTCAGACCGCAGGCCAGGACGGTGCGGCTGCTCACGGGCCAGCGGTTTGAAAGCTGTCACCTTGGAGCCGGCAGGTGGCGTGGAGGTTAAGGCTGCTGGCTCCCAGATGGGTGACTGGCTGGAGTCCTGGACCTGGTGCGTGCGTGTGCGTACCCCAAATCCTGAGACGTGGAGAAGGGCCTGTGGCGTGGCCATCCCCCCAGGGGGCAATGTTTCACTTTCTCTCTTCGGTAAGCACATACGCCTTATAGCAAAAACAAAACCCAAACATCCCAAACCAAAACAAAGCAGGAAAAGCCACCACGCACCAAGCCCTGCCAGCCAGCCAGACCTGGCGCTCCTGCACTGCACCTCTGCGTCCTCCCTTCCCGTCCCGTCAATTCCTGGAAGCCCTGTCCCTCCTCCAGGTGTGCCCCTTCTTTTTTATTTATTTATTTATTTTTTGGAGAAGTGTTTGCTATAGTGAGAGTGTGCTTGCCAGAAAGAGACAGAAAGCGAGAAACCACCCCCCGGGGGGATGGCCACGACACAATCCCTTCTCCTCCATTCTCCTCTTGGGATCTTGGGCACACACGCACACGCGCCTGGTGTGACGTTACGCCATTGAGTCCGGGACTCGAACCACGGTCGACTACATGGGAGTCCAGCGACATAGCCATTATGCCAACTGTTGCTCCCCAGGTGTGCTCCTTCTTAAACCCTCTTCTGCCCTCGGCGACCCTCCTTCCATACCGGGATATGTGGCTGGTGTGGGCTCCTCCCTCCCCCACCACTCCAGCTGCCCCCGGAGCTGCTCCTGTGGCTCGTGCAAATGGCTCCCAGGAGCTCACCTCCAAGGAGCCGCTGGTGTAGAACCCACGCCATCTCGGCCCCGGAGGGCTGTGGCAGTTGCCCTGGCAAACAGGTGAGTCTGAGGACGTCGATGGCTGTAGTTTCTGGAACACTATCCTGTCGGCCTTCTGCCATGTGCCTTGTGGATGCTATACCAACCTGTTCTAAACGCCCACACCGAACGTTCTGGTGTAGCCATCTCTGTCCCGTTTCCATCCATCCATCTCGCTCAGAGTTCCTGAGGACCCTGCAGAGAGACAGAGACAGACGGTCGGAGAGGAGAATTCGTGAGTCCCCGTCATCCTGATCAGGGCGGGAAGACAGGGACGTCGTGAGTGGCTCAGGATGACCCAGTGGCCGGGCCTGGGCCTCCTGACTCCATTATTCAGAAGTCCCGGCTCCCAGGTCCTGCACAGGCCTTTCAAGGGCAGGGCCCACCCCTGGGAGCATCTGCGCAGCAAGGTGTTGACAGAGCCTCAGACCGCCAGGGGGCAGCCTCCCGGCACTGCACAGCGGCCTGGGTACCGCTCCCAGACCCTCTGGGTCTGCTCTCTTGGTGGGTCCTGCCCAGCAAGGCGCCAAGGGCAGTGAGGACAGAAGGTTCTGGCTGAGGGAGCCGCCCAGGGAAAGACACGGCTGGGCACCGAGGGGCGCCGAGCACAGGGTGCCGGGTCAGGGGCTGCGGGAGAGCCAGGGCTCCTTCCTTTACCAGAGCGCCCAGCATAGAGAGGCCTCTTGACCTTTTGCTGCTCCTCCTGAGTGCACAAGGGGCGGGAGTGGGAGACCCCTCGTTCTAGAGCCCAGTGAGGCCATGCTTGTGGGCAGCCTTGTCCAGGCTCGGTTTGCAGTTTCCCAGGCCTGTCTGCAGCGGTGGCACCGCTGTCCCTGGGGCGGGGAGGGCTGCAGGCTGACCTGGGACATTTCCTCCTGGAGCTGGGGAGGGCAGGCCACCGCTGTAGAGGCGGGTTTCCAGAACAGGACTCACGCCTGGGCCAGGTAGCACCCCGGGGCTCAGGCCCCCACCCTGCCAGCCGAGGGACAAGGGGCTGACCCCTGAGTGGCCGCCCAGTGCCCCTAGCTAACACAGACCCAGGCTTCAATGAGGGGGCCACTGTGGGGCTCCCTCAGAGACCCGTGGCTCCCAAACCCTTATGACTGCCTCACTGAGAAGGGCCCGAACTTGTCCAGAGAACCGTGGTGGCAGGGGTCCCTGCAATGTCAGGGGCAGAATCTGTCCTTCAGGCCCTTGAGGCCCCTCTTGCTGTCGCAGGACGCCAGGGAAGTCCAGAACACTGCCCCCGCGCCCGCCGGGGCCCACGGAGCTCAGGCAGGTCAGCCCAGGGCTGGGGGCGCTTGGATGAGGCTCTCCCTCCGTTTCTCCCGCTTATTCCCAGTTCCGCTCGGATTGCACGATCTGCCCGCTGGGTGGCTGCGAGTGGCCGGGTCGGAGGCTTCCTGTGGGCCGGGCCTGGGCTGGCAGGGATGGGGGCTCTGGATATCCTGGCCCCAGGCAGAGCAGCCTGGTGATGGGGCGCGGATGGCTCGGCACATCCTGGGGCCCCTCCCGGTTCGGCCCTTACCCAGGAGCCAGGCGAAGCCGCCCAGCGTGCCAGGGGCCACCTCTTGACCTCCACGGAGATCCGGTGGCACACCAGGCGGACGCAGAGCCGGGGACCCGTCCCTCCACGCAGCAAACAGCTCGCGAAAGTCAGGGCGGCCCCGGGAGAAAGTCACCGCCCGGAGATTGAGCCGCGGCCCCGCCCTCCGCAACTTCGGCGGGCGGCGGGGCAGGAAGTGGGGGGGCCGG